AAAAGCCCACTCCCCTTTTGCTCCTCTTTTATCTCCTATGGGAGGGGCCATTCATCGTCCATCTGTGGTCTTACTCCCAAGTCGACCCTGACAGCTCTGCGCATGCGCACACTGGAATAGGTTCCTCTGTTCCTCTGCCTCGCTGCTGTCTAGCTCCAAAGGCAATGGAGAACTGCCAGATGGCCTTGGCCCCATCTCTGCCTCCACATGTGGCCTTACTCCCAAATTGACCCCTGTTCTTTAGGTATTCTCTTCATCTGGCAACTCTGCGCATGTGCACACTGGGAACAGGCTCCAGCTGTTCATCTGCCTCACTGATGTCTGACTCTGAAGGCAGCTGGTAACTGGCATATGGCTCTGGCCCCCTCTCTGTCTCCAACACAGAGCCCTCATCCGAGCCTTCCCCAGCCTTCAGGACTGGCCCATGTTCCTCCCCAACCCCCTCACTGTCCGACTCTGCTGCCACAACAGTAAGCAGCTACATACTGCAGTCTACTTGTTTCTTTATTCATAGTATCATATGAAAATACAACGATGTGTACAATTTGTGCTATTATTCAATTATCGTATTTGATAGACATTCATTTAAAATTAAGATATGCCCCTTCAGTTTTATGACTATATATTGTGAAATCCATCACAGCAAGTAAATATTGCTTGTTTTAAGTTAGCATGCAACCTTAGTTATCAGGATTATTACAGTTACTAGAGAAATACTGCAAATAGATGCCTGATAACTAATGCAACAATAATATTATTTGTAACTTATTGACTGACAGATGATGCCGGAAACAAATAATCATATATACAGTATGTATTCAGCTTTTAGATAATAGAATATGCTTCTTTATACGTCTTAGTTAATAGGATAATAAAGTAATTTCAATTCAAAACAGAAGAGATTATTCAAAGCACACATAAGCACACACCTTTCATCTATCAGCTCTTCCTTAATCATTTCCCCTGTGATTGCGTGGTGATCCCAGGAAAAGACTTAACTTTTTAAGAAGTTGAAAGCAGGAATGACACATCCATCCACACTCAGAATCTAGTTTTTTTTTTAATTGTTTAAAAAGTGGCTTGGGATATGCAGTAGTCTTGATTTTGAAGAGGAAATGATCCTCTTCAAAATCAAGACTGCTGCATATTTTATCCTATTCAGTTACAACCTGTAGCACAAGCCACTTTTTAAACAATTAAAAAGAAACGAAATCTGCCAAAAACTAAAGGTAACCATACTTTGTGGATCAAATGAAACACATTTTTTCATTTGATCTGTATCATGCTTCCCCGAAAATAAGACAGGGTCTTATTTTATTTTGACACCTCCAAATGTTGTTTGGTCCTTATTATCCGGGGGGGGGTATTGATTTGGAGCAGCAGCCCGGCAACCCCCCTTTCCAGTCGGGCAGAATGCCACTCACCGACCCAGTAATATCCCAAAGGTGCTAAGCCGTGTGCTGCTCTGCCCAGCTGGAAAGGGAGGTTGTGTGAGCACCTGTTCTGCCCCAGCTCGCGTGCCTCTCAGCCTCATCATGCCCTGGCCCAGCTCTCCCTGCAGGGCCAGAGCACTGCTGTCGCCACTACCAAACAACCCCCTGCTCCAGCTCGGCACAGCACCACTCACTAACCTAGCGGTATCCCGAAGGCGGCAAGTAATGTGAGCGCCTTTGCCCCCCTCCCTGGCTCTTGCGGCTTGGTGCCTTCGGGATATCGCTAGGTTGGTGAGTGGTGCTCTGCCTGGTTGGAGGGTGGGTGTTCAGGGGGGAGGGGGCTTATATTTTTGCCCAGCTGAAAAATCTGGCAAGGCCTTAGTTTCAGGACAGGTTGTATTTTCAGGGAAACATGGTACATACCTAAATATGTGTATTATTTAATTGTCTTGTTGGCCAAACTTTTATACTAGGTTGAGTATAGTCTTAGTCAATTATGGTAAGAAGTACACAGAAAAAGTAAAGAAACAGAACTAAGTCAAAATTGAAAGAAAAAATAATTTAAACAGTCCAGAATAATTAAGAATGTCAAATATGATGAACAAGAGGCGATTTTTCAAAGATTATTTTTGTATTCAGAAGGTTTTGAAAGGACATTAAATGATGCAGTAGAAGAGGAGCAGCTATCAAAGGAGAAAAATGAAAATAATAGGGGTATCAATGCAAATAATAACACTTGCAAATATCAGATTCCATTGTTTAGAAAAAATGCTTCAAGTCTGGAATACCTTATTTTTCGGACTATACGACGCACAGGAGTATCAGACGCACCACGATTTTGAAGAGGTAATTTTTTAAAAAATTTTTTCCATTCCGCAGGCCTCCCAAACTCTCTGCAATCCTCGTTTTTTGCTCCCCCCCCCAAAAAAGGGGTGGCATGCAGAGCTTTGGGAGGCTTTGCCCTCCTAAGGGGCCAAAAACGAGCAAAAAACAGCCCATTTTTGGCAAAAACAGGCTGTTTTTTTTTTAAAGGGGGGTCATACAGAGGATTTGGAAGGCTTGTAGAGTGTTCCTGGGGGCTGGGGGCCCCCAAAATGGCCCATTTGTTGCTTCCCCCCCTCCCCAGCCCTCAGGAACACTCTGCAAGCCTCCCAAACCCTCTGCACATCCATTTTTTGCAAAGGGGCAGGGTTTCAGTAGGTCAACAATGCTGTATACAGTATATAAGATGCACCCAGATTTTCACCCTCTTTTTTGAGGGAAAAATGTGCATCTTACACTGCAAAAAATATGATAAATAATTCACTCGCATATTATACAGTATCTGTATATTCACTTCCATATTCACTTTGAACATTACAAGAAAATTCTTACTGTAACAACTAAAATGTACCTTGTTTCAGGGTCAAGAGAATCCATAACATCTTTGTCAATTAACAATCTTCTCAGACTGTGACATAAATCTACATTTGTGTTTAATCTAGAAATATAAAAAATATAGTCAGTATTACATTTACGATTAGATATTACTAGTTTTTGTATTTTCTGTCATGTTTTATAAACTTATTCAACTTCAAAGTTATCACTTTGGAAAGAAGACATCAAAAGCAATTTACATCACAAATACTTTTTTTTTCAGCATTCCCCAAGGTATGTAACTAACTTATTAAAATGCTAAACAAGGCAACAGGAAATATAATCCTAGAGTGATTCCAATCTTGGATGTTAATGGAGAATTTCCATAATTTATACACTCATTTTTTTGCAGAACATCTGCATGATATTTTCATCCAATTATTCAATTACTGCCTTCCTGTGTTTTCTCTGTGATTTTTCCTTTTCTTTTAAGGCAGGAAAAAGTATGGCTTTTTGGAAGGTAGGGGCAAGAACACAGAATGTAAGGGATATAGACCACTTTACCCCCCCCCTCTTCCTTTCTCTCCATGGGTTGAATTTCAGTAAACCAATATACATGTAATGGTAAGATAGACCTTTGTTTTATGCAATGTAAATGTCTGGTTCAGTATGACATTAAGACATAATGGATTGTTTCACATATTGCAAAAAGCAACTCATATTTGTTGCCGATCACTATGTGTGACCAATGTAAGAACTGATTAATCTGACAAGTAACCTTATAGTAACACCCAACATTTTTTTCAATTGGTAAATGTAGTTTCAAGGAACATATGTTAGCTCTTTCATTATAAAGGTAAAGGTTCCCCTCGCACATATGTGCTAGTTGTTCCCAACTCTAGGGGGCAGTGCTCATCACGATTTCAAAGCCAAAGAACCAGCACTGTCCATGGTCATGTGGCCGGCATGACTAAATGCCGAAGGCGCAGGGAACGCTATTACTTTCCCGCCAAAGGTGGTTCCTATTTTTTTACTTGCATTTTTTACGTGCTTTCGAACTTCTAGATTGGCAGAAGCTGGGATAAGTAATGGGAGCTCACTCTGTTACAAGGTGCTAGGGATTCAAATGGCCAAACTGCCAACCTTTCTGGTCATTATGAAGACCTATAATTTCACCAGGGCTTTTCTTTAGGAATATTTTTTCCTAGTAGACTAGACTTTACTTCATGGGAATAAATTAGAATATCTTGCTATTGATTAGTGAGTAATAGAGGCATACGTTCTACCTTGAGTCAACCTCAATGATTATAGAATACATTAAGAAATTGTATGAGAATAGTTCCTGCTGTACTGCCAGGCACAAGCAATCAGAACCGCTCATGAGTAGATTAAGGCTGTAATGTTATTGTTTATCACCTATGTTATAAGAATCTCACCAGACAGCTTGCCTTCCCCTGGCAAATGACCAGGTAAGGCTTCATATTTGGGGGGAAGTCACACTTATACCATTTGTGGCTGCGCAATGGCTCCAAGCTAGATCCTTGCTTGACCCCCTCTTTGCAATCTAGCTGGCAATTCCCTAACAAGTTTATCCATCCTAATATTAAGTAGGTTGCATTTTTTACAACTCAGCCAATGTTGTTAGGTGCTATTTTTTGCTATAGAATTATTGATCACTACAGCACAGATTAACCAGATAAAACTAGCTTTCCCCAATCTGAGCACCTTTCAGCTACACAGATCTCAATTACAAGAATTCTCAAATAATATCCAGGCTGCTTAGAAATGTGAGGAACAGAAGTCCACACATTCTGGAAGATAATTGTGGAAGGTTGATACAAATTTTCAAACACTGAATAAAGCATACTTTTCTACCATAGTACCAATGCTTCTGCAGGCTTCCTCAGCAGCATCTCTGAAAGCAGGATCAGGGTGGGCTATTTTCACAAAATCAGCCTGTTATAGTAAAAAAAATATGAAAGCACAAAAAGATAAAATATTAACGTTTGTAAAAAAAAAAAAAGTCTTACTAACTTTATAAACATTGCACATGATTTGAAATGTTCATAAACATATGAGTTTTCAAAGAGCTACAACTAAAATTATTCTTTACCTTAATATTTCTGCAACATAGTTGAAGAAAAAAAATATGTAGATTCATTGTTCAGTTTCAAAACAAGATTGTATACAAGACCAGTAAACGTACTATCGTAAATACTGTCAAGCGGTTGTTTGACATGTACATGCAACAGATAGGAAGTGCTAATGTATGCATATCTATTACAGTATTTTAAAAATCGGGGGGGGGGGGGAATCTGGAAAAAAAAAGTTGCAGAGGACTATGGGCCCACCAGTGAAAACCATGCCATGTGAAAGACTGAAACTTGGAATGTAACAGAAATAAACAAATGGCAAAGAGTATGAATAATAAATAGATGTGTATTTGTGAAATTGAGAAAAAGGGGAAATAAATAACAGATTGAATGAAGATAATATGATTTAATGGAGTAGAGCGAATCATTTCATACAAAGAATTGTAGAGATTAATCTTCCAACAAAAAGGAATGGGAAATAGACATAAGGAAAGTAATGTGAAAACTGCTTGAAATACAGTATCTGGCATTACACTAACAGAAAGAATTAAAACAATATTCTAAGTGGAATGATGGGATAAAACAATAATACATGAATTACTAAAAAATGAGGATAAGAGGATAATGTGAACAGTAAAAAAAAAACCATGCAAAAAATGTCATCAAAAGGGCAAGGAATGGATAAGATTAAAAGAGGCCCAGAATATGCAAAACAATTTTGCTGAAAGTAGAAACATGAAGAATAAAACTGAAACAAATGCTATGTTAGTGTCCAAAGAAAAAAGTTATAAAAACAACTCAAAAATGCTGTGAGAACGGTGAACGGTAAGCCTGGAACTATAGATGGTGTAATTAGAGGGATGTTAGTTGTCAAATATTAAAATATAGATATGGTCTGCTTATAGAATAGCAATGTGATATGTACATTGGTGTCTCTCAATCATTATTCTTACCTAGTATAAAGGGAAAAGTAGTAAGATGAAGGCAAAAATTACATGGACATTAATTTAAGACTGCCTGGAAGGTCTTTTCTATCCTTTCAATTTTTACTGGAAGGGGAGTCGACAGGAAGTTTTCCAGATGATGAATAAAGTGAGATTTTACTGCTTGTTTTTTTACATAATACATTAAGGGAATTGTAACAAACTGTGAACAGTGTGGTGTGTCATTTATAGACAATTTAAGGATAACTTAATCCAAGTTATAGAAAAATAGAGAGGTAACATGGAATATATCTACAATGGGAAATTACTGAGATTTTTAGACAGAATTACATATTGGGGACATGTTAGGATGTATAATTATATAAAGATAATGAGAATAGCTAGGAATTGTAACCAGGTCTACATCTCAACCAAAATTAGGCTGGGGTGGGGGTGGGGAGGGCAGAAATGAGCAAAGAACGGAACGCCCCCCCCCCCGGCCCCCAGCAGCACTCTATAAGCCTCCATAAGGCTATGCATGCAATTTTTTTTGACAAAAACAGCCCGTTTTTTG